CGGCTCTCTTCACTGTCGGTAGGTAGAGCTCGCGCTCTCTCACTTAGCTCTTTCCTTTAACAGCCCAGGCGAATTCCTCAGACTCCCGGCGGTGGCGGCGCTTACACGCGATTCGCGTTCATCAATCCACGACATGAAGACAGGCGAGAGAGAGGAGAGAGAGAGGGGAGAGAGAGAGAGAGAGAGAGAGAGAGAGATGGCGGGGGTTGAGGGGTACAGGGCTGGGGGGGACCTGGAGGAAGGGGAGGAGAGGAGAGGGGGAGGGATGGGGGTGTGGTGTGTGTAGGGGGGTGGTGAGCCAGCCCCAGCTAATGGCTGGGGCCAGCTTTTTCAAGGTAGGAATTCAGATTTGAAGGTGCCTCCCCCCCCCTTTCTCTTTTTCTTCCTCTGAGAGAAAGAGGGAGAGAGAGAGAGACCTCAGCCAGCAGGTCAACTCAGGTTACCTCAACAGGTATAAGACCCCCAGGGGGTTGAATGCCTGTAAACCAGAGCTGGGCCCCTAACCCAAAAGATGGGCTCCCTAGGGGGTCCTTAAGTGTGGGGACTTTGAGGAAGAACAATCACACCATCACACACGCATTGCCCAGATACTTCAGGCATCAGACCTTTCTTACCCTGGCCCCTCCCAGGGTCTGAAGCTGTCTTGGCTTCTTCCTTAGATCCTTAAGAATTTCTTGCTTGTTATGGGTAGAAAAGAAGACCAGAGGTGGTGGTAGGGACACTTCCTATACCCAGTCAGAGCCACAGTGTCCCTTCAAGACACCAGCCCCTATCAGGAGCAGGAAATGCAGGCAAAATCTTGGCTGGGGGCTCTGAGAGCAAAGCTGCTCATGGAGACTATGAAGGAAAGGGCCACTTATATATCCCTGGCTTCTGCCTAGGCTGATCCAGGTTTTCTCCTCTTAGGAGACTACTTGCATCTGAGTTGGAGGGAACTGGAGCAGACCTCTTCCTTGTCCACACATACCCCACCCCACCCTTTAGAAAATGCCAGCTTAGCCTGGTGGGGCTCCCTGGCTTTCCTGCATCCCATTCTTCCCCAGGCCAGGGTGCAGATGGGAACTGTCAACAGACACCCACACTTTCTCTTGGGGTATTCCTCATCCCCAACACTGAACAAATTTAAGTTAATTCTAATGGATTAAAGAACCTCAGTCCATCAACGACCTTCCATGGCCATAAGTGTGTGCAGTTATGCGGGCTTAACACAGACAGAAAGGAAAAGGGAGAAAATGAGAGAGCTATGTATATGTGTGCTGTGTGCATACAAATGAAAAAGAGGAATATAATTTTTCCAGTCCTCTCACTCCACAATGTGTAAAGTTGTTACACACAGGGAAATCCTGGCACACACTAGGGATACCCACATACTGCATGTACTACCTTCTCACCCTGAGACCTGTCAAGTGCATGCTAACTGTAAACTAGCATACACATGCATGGAAGCATCCCTGCCACTTCAGAGACATTGTACACAAACACGCACACTCAGGTACACATGTGCATATGCCTGAGAAACATAGATATATCTTTAGGCTTTTGCATCATGAAAATATTTACTACTTATTTTTCTTCTTCATCCTGGGGCTTCAGGGCTGGATGAGGAAGGAGGTGGTTAGACAACTAGATCTTTTCCTTCCCTATCTGAATCCCAGCTCTGGGGATGGAGGAAGGAATAGTAGTGCAGGGCAGGATGGTTTGGAAAGACTGAGCACTCCCCCATTATCTAAATAATTGCTGGAAAAATGGCCACTCCCTGACAAATTCCCAAAGGAGAGTTACTAGTGCAGGCAGCAAGAGACCCTTCCAAGATCCCCTGCTTTCGGGAATCCCACCCCCACCTGACTTAGGGATTGCCCAAACTCTTTAGACATCCAGAACTCTGGCTCTGGAGCAGCAGGAGGGAAGACTCAGAGGAGGGCTGTATCAGGGCTGCAGGGTTCCCTAGGGCTGGGAATAGGGTGTGTGTGACCACAGGGTGTCTCTCCTACCAGAGCCCAGCTCCAGTAATGGCTCCAGCTCTGACTTTTCTGAGCCTGCTCTTCGGGTGCAGAGATGAACAGGATGGACTCTGGGCTCCCAGCATCTGGGTCAGTGGGGACTATCATAAATACTTTCTCTTCCTCGCCTGGAAAGAGGAGGCCCAGAGGGCTGTATCCGCTCTGGGGCCTGCGCCTTATCTTTTAGGGGGTGGGGTGGGGGGATATTTCGACATTTTATGGTCTAGCGAAAACCCTGCCACAGAGCTATTCTTCGGGGCCTTTGTGTCTTGGAATGCAACTGTCCCGAGTGTGCCGCCACCGCCGCTTGCCCGAAGAACCCACCAGTCCCGCAACCCCTGGCCGGACTGGACTTGGTTTCCCCTTTGGGAGAATCTCTTGCCTTTCTTTCATTTGGATTTTTTTCTTTTACATGTATCTGGTTTATTTTGTTCCCTGCACATGGAAATAAAGGAACCGCAAGCAGCCATCCTCGCCGAGGCCGTCTCTGTCCCTCTCCCGAAGCCTGCACGCCCTATAGGTACTACGGATTTATGTTCGTTTGTCCGGGTCATTCTGCCTTTTTGTGTTAATTACGCGCTGCCTGCTTCGCACTTATCTCCTCCGCAAAGCGATTATTTTTGATGCCCGTCCTCCTGCACCTTCCAAGCCCGCTGCCAGAGCGAAGGCCCCATCTCCCGCTGCCACTCGCGAATTATTTACACCTCGCAGGTGAGAGGATTGATTTGCTCAGAGCAGTGGGGCCGGGCGGGCCGAGGTGCGGGGCCTTCTCGCCTCGGCTCTCGGCCCGGCCTCAAATGTCAGTGTGGCCAGGCCGGCCCAGGCACGGCTGCCTCTAACATTGAGCAACAGCGCCACCTCGCGTCCACTTGCTCCAATGCAGTCAGCCGGGAAAAAGCCAACAGGGGTCCCAAGCTTGGCTCAAAGGTGGGAAGTGGGAAGAAAGAACCTCTAAATGGGTGCAAGGAAAGGGATTCCCGGAAAGAGGGTTGCTCTAGGGCCTTTTTTCTTTTGCTTTCTAAATTCTTGAAATAAACCTGTGCAAGGTTCCACCCTGTTTCTCCTGTTGTTACCCTTCCTTCTCCATTTAAGAGACACTATGCAAAGGATCTGCCACATCTCCCCCAATTAAGACACATTTCTGGGCTTAGAACACCTCCGCGCACGCGGAAGCACGCTCCGAAGCTCCCACGACCTCCTGCCCAGGCGCACACCCTAAAGTCTTCGTTCCTCTTACCCAGATGCGGGCCCCGTACCGCCTATTCCGCCGCCGCCTGCAGGACTTTGGGGAGGGACTCTGACTTCTCCAGGCTGTTTACCCCCCTGGTTTGTAACCCAGTCCGCTCGCGCGCGTTCTCTCCACCTCTCCCTCCCAGCCAGTGAGGTCCTGTTCTCCGTGGGCCATAGACAAAACATTCCTATAATCCGATTTCAAAGGAAAGAGTGTCCACCTTATTTAAACCATAAAACAATTAAGCCCAGACGTCTAGCCAGCTCCGCGCTGCTGTTTTGTTCGGCCCCATTCAGAACCCAGAGCAGGAGACAAACAGCGCCATAAAAGTGGCATTTCGGGGCTGCGGAAATGTACCTATCCTCTGCCTTCCCAAGTGGAACAACCTTTAGGGTTTTGTGATTTTGACAAAGGAACAGAGGAGAGGTGGAAGGGAAAGATTAGGGGAGGAGGGCATTTGTTAGCCTCTCTCTCCCCCCAGCTTTCATTTTGTTCCCCAAATGTGTGTCCTGTTGCTGTTGTAATTCATAAGTGATAACAAATAAAAATCAAATCCAATCCTGACATGCAGGCTGGAAACTGGGCTGATACTGAACAGTAGGGCCCGGCTGGGTGGGCCTGCTCTGGTCGGGGTCCTTCAAGCCTCTGAGGCCCTCCTTCCTGCCCACAGCTCGGGAGGGCTGCAGGAAGCAGGCCGCGCTGACGGACACCGAGGGGAGGCGACAGGGCCTTGGAGCAGGGGCGGGGTGGAAGCCTGGAAACGCCAGGCTTGGGCTGGGAGAGAAGCCTGTATCTCCAGTGGTCCAGACTGGAGAGAGAGGGGTGTCTTGGCCTCCATCAATGGGCGCAGAACTGGACCAGGGTTCCAGAACAGCAAAATGGCCAGAGGGAGGAGTGAAAAAGTGGGGAAAGAGAAAAATATATAGGCAAAAGCACCTTTCAAAAGGACCAAGAAAACAAAGCTTCTGGAATTGGAGAGGAAGTCTCCAAGCTAGAAAGAGGAGAAGAGGAATGGGTGCTTCAGCCATTTCCAAGTCCCTGTTGCGATCTGATTGGTCCTCCATATTATCTAAACAAAATTTTCACTTCTTCCTACCTTCCTCCAGTCCCCAATTTGGAGTATTTAATAGAAGGAGAGAGCAGGAAATTCAAATGATGAGGAAGGGGCTGTTCTCTACAAATGCTCACCATACTGTAAGGTGATGCTGTGTGGGAAGCAGCACATGGGCTGGGGCCCCCACTTATTTTATTTTACAGAGGTATCCCCCAAGTATTCAGAGCAACACCCTGCACCCTCAGCAGAATGGGCAGCTTGAGATATTAAAGGGCTATATTTCAAGCAGTCTGATTTTAATAGTTTCCAGATTGGGGGATTTCCGAGAAAGGGGGCGCTGAGCCGAGGCATACCCAGCTTGTGTCTGCTTCTGATTAGCAGATGAAAACTGCTGGTTTTAGGACAGTACTCTGGGGTGCAGTGCAGCCGACCAACCCCACCAGGCTGTTACACACATATCCCCACACCTTTGCCCTTGGGGTCCCACAGCCACCAGGGAGCACCCCACTCCTGGCCAATCCCTGCCCAGCTTCCTTGGGCACCAGCTGGCTGGACCATACCCCAGAAATGCTTAGACCTGCTCAGTATGATCCTGGTCACCCCCAAACCAACT